ATCTGTGTGTGTGTGTGTGTGTGTGTGTGTGTGTGTGTATATATTTTATTTTTTGAGAAAACCATAAGCTAATGTCAGCGGTAAAGGTGAGTGAAGTTCAGGATCTATTCTTGTTTTATTTTCTCTGGTTCTTGCGGCTGTTGCTGTTCGGGCAAGGGGAGCAGCTCCACCACTTGGAGACTTAGACCCTCGGGCTGGTCTCTTCCTGGACCTATATTCCCATTAAGTGACCTCAGGAGGGTCATTCCATTCACATTTATGTCCCTAATCTCTACTTCAACTTAACGCAAGACATAGCGTGCTATATCCTGGGGAAGAATTGGGGGGGTTGGTGGTGTGTGAAGAGGAAAGGTAGTAATTGGCCTTGAATGGAATGCAAAGACACATGTTAACATTTGCACTGACATCCTTGTCCTGTGTCTTCATTTTTCCAGGATTGTGGCGGTCTCCTGTCTGAGGGAGACAACCAAGGCTGCTACCCTTTGGATGGACACATTCTCTGCAAGACCTGCAACTCCGCCCGCATCAGGGTGCTGACCGCCAAGGCGAGCACTGACCTTTAAGTTCAGTTGCCTGTTTAGCCGTTAGTTGGTGGCTCTGAGAAAATGAGGAAAATGAAACACAAGAAAAACATAAGAAAAGATGTAGGAAAAGAGAGGAAAGGCAATCAAGCCATAGGGTGGTCTCTACTTCATCCACTATTAACCTTTCTTTAGAAACACACACAGTCTGAGACTTTTTGCTGTTGTTAAGTTCTTACCAAATACACATTTCACATTTAATCATGTAGGACCTTGATGGGCCTTTGTTCCCAAGGACTTCCACATTTTTGCACGGATTATGCTCCATCCCATTCACTTCTGCATTCCTTTAACTTTTAATCCCTGTGTTTGTCTCACTTTTCATCTGGTTGAATGGCTTGTTTTAGTGTGGTATTTGCTGTCACACAGTTTTCCCCGGGTGAGTCTGCCAGCTCACAGGTGCTTTTAGGCTTGAAGGCTCCATCTTATCACTTCCACATTGCCGGTGAACATAAAAGATAGCCATTCTTTTTACTGTGTATTGAAAAATAGATCTTTCTGTCACTCTAAACTGATCGTGTCCCTGGGGGGAAAATGCACAATTATATGTCAGGCTATAAAGCGTTTAAGCTACAAATTACATAGATTAAAACAAGTCCAAATTTAATTTACAGCCCTTTAAATTCAAAGTCTATAGTGACCAGTGGGGCCAGGGTTCATTTGAAAACAGATATTGGTGAGAGAAAACCAAACATCAGTCTTTTTCTAAAGAAACTATAGATGAAGTGTGCTGGATAAAGTGTTTGGGGCTTACATTTGAAAAGCTCATTATTACCCCCAAAATATGGATCTTAAGATTTTCCTTTTCCGTGCTAGCTGGACATAATAATACAAACTTGGTTCTCTCTAGAATGTAACATTTCCAATACTGTCCCACTTTTTCATAGCAGAAATATTGCCACTTTTTTTTCTAATTTCTAAACACAACTACCAAAATTGACTTTTTCTCTAGAAGAAGATAGCTATAAAGCACAGTTCAAATTCTTTTTTTTTTTTTTTCTCCTCCTGGCCCAGGTCCTTTTTGCTTGACAATTGCAAATCAGAGCACATAAAATTGTGTTAGTTTTCTTTAGTTTACTTTAAAAAGACAAGAAAGCTTGAAAAGATTGTGAAACCACAGTTTCATTATTTTTATAATCCTTCTGCAACTCAAATTACATATTGCAGAAGACATTTTCCTATCTTCGATGTGACATTTATACCACACTTTCAAAGACAATCACTGAAAAAAAAATGCCTTTTTGAGCTAAAAATATGCAGAGTCTCTGCCTGGAATCTTTATTCAAACTCTTATTGGGCAGTGGAATGCTTGCCTGCCAACTGCAGAACCACATCTGCTTTGTTAGGTTCCAACGTGTTTCTTTTAAGGAGTGATGCCTCTCTTAGTAGCAGGTTACCGCTTTGTAGACTAAGTATTTTGAATTAAGATTAGTTAAACTTTTCTTCAAACCTTCCACAAGTATATACTTTTAAATTATAAAGTATTTTAAATATACACAAAAATATAAATAATAATATAATGAATCTCTGTGACACCCAGTTTAAGAAACAAATGTAACAAATATAGTTAACATTTCCCTTTAAACCCTTCCCTGATTCCACAGGTATCTTTTTCATGATTAGAAAAAAGTGATAAAGTCAGTTTTCTAGTCTGACTTTTTTTAAATTTTTACTGTTAACACTCAGAAATGAAAAATTATTTGTGCATGTTTTGAATTACAACACTGGCCACAAGAATCGCGGTTAAATTTACTTTAGTAGGAATAATCATAAGGGTGGTTCCAAAAAAAAACATTTTTTTTTTCCAATGAGAAATTCTTAAGCCTGTGGCTCTTCTGAGTTAATCTGTGGCTCATTTGCTGGGGTCACCAGTTTTATTTTAGAGCCACCAGAATTGTAGCTTTTCAAAGTTTCCTTTGACCACTGCCCTTTCCTTACCTCGCAGCCCTTATGTCTTATATTTCTCATCATGTGAAATATAAGGGATTCACTACGGGCAGTGTGTGAATTTTAAGCTACAGTGGCAACTGTATTTCTGAACTTCTGATTTCCAAATTAAAAGCCAGAGCATGCTGATGACCTCAAGGAGCACTGATTATTAGACAATTGGGGTGATAATGTAATCTGCTTGAATTGCTTCAGTGACTTGTTTCCTATGACCTACTTGGAAGAAACTGTCTTTAGGTCAAAAGCAAAGAACCCGACTTATTGAGGGATGACCTTTATCTCTTGAAGTGCAGTCATCCCATTATGAATTTTGCCAAAAGAGGGAGAATTTATGAAATATTTATACTATAAAATGCAATAACATTCTACTTGTTTGTTACATCTAAGTCCTTATGTAACTGAATGTTTACATGCCAAAAAAAAAATGTTGTGAGAAATGCTGTCACAGACCCATCCCTGTGGCATTGCCAGAATCTGCTTGCTTACAATCTTTATAGTGCATTTTTATCACATAACCTCAGAGTATCTTTACCAAAGATTTTTAAAGTAAATCTCTTTTTAACATAGACTTATCATACTTTTATAATAATGAATGTGCACACAGACATATACAGAATATTTAGATTTAGATTTTTTTTTCTTTCACAAGGTATAATAAGGAAAGGATCCTAAAATATTTTATTTCAGGATTTCTTAACTCTATGATTTATATCGCTATCTTGTCTTCTATTAATTGTTTGGTGTCAGCAATGCCAAATCACTCTTTACTGTTTTAGTTACATGAAATTTTGCCTATAACAGAGATATAAAGATCTATCACCTTAAGGTTTATAATTCTATCTTTTGATGTATTGCCTTGATGGTTATCATTTAAATACATAAATAATGGAAAAGAATCAGAGAGTCTATAAGAGAAAGTTTGTAAAAGTATACTGATTTTTTTTTTTAAATTGTCAAGAACACAAATATTTGGTAGTTCCATGTAACGTGAGAGACGTTGGAAAAGGAAAAAAAACCCACTATGTCCTGGGCTCTGTGGACCATTTCAGAATGAGATTTCTCCATTGCCTGGATCCCCAGCTCAAGACAACTCTGTGGAGTCTTATCTGCAAGCAAATTGGCCTTTAAGACTCAAAAATAAGTCTTGTGTCCAAGCAAAATGCATGAGGGCTTTGAGATCTCAGATGTCTCTGCAGCCCAAAGATAGGGGTTCTTTTTCCTCTCATTAACACATTGTTTCTGTAGGAGCAGCTTCTCTGATCAAAATTACTTCATTGAGTGTATGCTGATTAACACAGTGGAGTTATCAGCCCTATCACTGTTGTCCCACTATGAAAGATTCTGCAAAGATGTTTTTGATGTTTCAAGTGTATAAAACTCTAACTCCATTTCAATAAGTATTTTATATTTGGGTGGAGAAGAAGGAAAAGAGCATTTTAGCACGGGGCTGTCAAGAGGGTTTATGGAATATGGACAGGACTCTGAAAGCACAACTTCCAATGGTTTTCCTAGTTAGTAAATATCCTATTAATGTGAACCAGCCAGGAATAACAGTGTTATTTCTATTTGATGTGGTTGGGGCTTCTCTTGTCAAATCTGCCTCGGCTGCCCCTTGGTCCCTCCACTATCAGGTTTTGAAGAGTGTTGGGGAAATGATGGCAGCTGCTAGGGAGATCAGGGAAACACTGATGTGACCTCACAGCCTCTCGCCGCTCCTCTTGGCTTGGGTAGGCCTTTTTTGCCATATACATTTCTAGAAGTATTGCTGTTCTACCTTAGGATTTCACATTTGTAGTTTAAACAAGCGATTGTCCATCTGTTGCCTGGAGCTACAGGACATGTGTGTTATGAATGAAATATGACAGCATGTTCCATACCCTGCTTTAGCCATCTGTAGGAAACCAGGAGGCTGAAAAAGATATACCTCTGTGAAATGTGCCTCAAGTCCATTTCCTGAGATCGCTCTTTTGGTGCACTTTCATGGGAGACAATCAGAGAGCCACGTGTACTTCTGCCTTATTTTTCAAGAACTTTACATTACTATGAATGCTCCACTCAAGTGTCTATCACGTAAATTACCACCCGCACATCTCAAAGATACACTGATCAAAAAGTCAAAATCCAGAGAAGTCTGAACCCTTCACCTTCGTGTATGCTAACAGTATTTCTGTCCTCGCCGTCTCTTGGAAGTGCCTTGTAGATTCCTAAACTAGGAAAGCATCCTTATACCACGAGGTGTGTCTTGGATGTTGTTGATGATTGGGTGGCCTGCCTTGGTGGCCTTCCTCTGGTTTTGTCCGATAATGAAGCCAGAGACTTCCGCTTGCGCCTTTAACACCCGTTCAGCCTATCCACTTCTTTAATTGCCATAACTTTTTGATTTGTCTGTTTTTGTTTTGTTTTGTTTTCTAATTTAATGGTGGACAGAACCAGCTGAGGATCTTGGTTCTGAGTCATTTTGATGGTGCAGTCATGAACATTTCAGGTCAAATTATTTCCTCCACAGGTAACTTTTCTTATGAGGCTGTTGTTAAGCTGACTTATTATTCCAAACCTTTAAAAAGTGATCTGATTAAAGCTATCTGACTTGATGAGAGTCCTTCCTCTTTCTTGCTTTCCCTCGTTTTCTCCCTCCCTCTTCCTTTCTTCCCTTCTTTCCTGCCTCCCTTTGTTCCTCCTGATTTCTACTCATTGATGCTATTCCGCTTGGACTGTTCACAAATAAATTAAATCAATGCATTAGGCTCCTTATGGAATTACGATCATATTAAGGGAAGACTTGTTCTACTGCAAGATATATGCAACCTCCACAAATCCTTCCTTTAAAAGGGCATATTTTCCAGATTGTGTTTATTCATAAAGTGAGGTGAGATAATAGAGTCTTTCAGTTTTATTTTAATGAGTTTTCGTCAGGGATTCAGATCATAGAGTTCTTGGCAAATTCACTTATGACTGCCCTACTTTTCCCAGCTATATGCAAAATGATCTTTCTAAGACTAGGTTAAGGTTCTTTTTTTTTTAATCCAAAGCATTTTGACCAACAAAACAATCATGTTTTTAAGTGGTGGCTGGTTATTTTAGATCAGTGAAACTTGAGAATTTTCCTTATGGCAGGGAAAAACGATTATCCTTCTAGAATTTTTACACATATCAGCCTTTTTCCCCGACAATAATATTACATCCTAATACTTGAACACTTGAAAACCTAATACACAGTATTTTTCAGGGGGTGGGGCAGCAGCAGAGGCTTTCCGGAAGCACAGATGACAGGCCTGCAGTCTGTTTATGAAAACAACCTGAGAAGAACAAGCTGGGTCTCTCCGTCAAGCATTTAGGTCTGAGATTCTTTTGAACTCTGACTAACACTGATAAAAACATGTCCTTTCTATCCATTTTTTTTAGTTTCTTTGGAAAAAGCTGATGATTTTAGGAATGTGTTTCCATTTTTGGTTTCTGTCCTCAGTTCCATTTTCTCCAAGTTGACCTTGATTTTCCTTTTTGGGAGGGTCACATGTGAGCAAAGTAAAAGCATACCCAGTACATACATAATTCAGCACATACGTGAATCTGCCCAGAATTAACGATAGTCTCAGTGGGTGTGTTGTTTTGATATATAGGCAGAGGTCGTTGTTTCTGTTTTGTTTTGTTTTTTAACCTGTCTCCAAGAAGAGAGGGACTCAGGAGGGAAGGAAGAATTCCAGTGAAGGGGCAGGTCAATTAAAACGATGACAAGAGAATTCTTGCATAGTCCCACTCTGAGAGTTTTCACAGGGGTTTTAATGATTAGCAATCATAGTTGTTTAAACACATAAAATATTTGTGTTTCCAAGTTTATGAGGCGTTTAAAAATCATTATGGCTAACAATGTATTTTTCCCTTGTCAGAAGAGAGTGAAATGAGAGCATCTTCTCAGCCCCGTGGTATGGCCGTAACTACATAGAACTTTCATAACCCACGTCCTTTCATCCCTCTGCGGGAGGGCTGTAGCTCAGTCTCTTTCTGATGGACGGCGGTGCGTGTTCTTACCTACTCTTGGGCAAGCCACGCTACACCCGAAGCATCTCGGAGGGTCAGATGTTTCTAGTTTCGCACCGCCGGTGTTTCATCCCTTTGCAGTGGGCTTACCTGGTGAGCACAGCGAGCAGTTTCTTCGGCCTGGGGTCTCTTGTTTAAATCCAGTCACCCGCTTTCTGTAATGTCTTGCCTAAACGGCTGCACTCGATTTGTACTGCTTTTCTCCTTTTTTACTTAAAGCACAGAAAACCAATTTTACCGTACTAAGTTTAAAAAGGAAGAAATATAGAATAACACATTTTCCCTTCAATCTAGACAGGGAGAACACTTACTCCTTTCTCTGTTTTACTTCCCCAGCCCTTCTGCAAAAAGTTGTAGACTCTATTTTTAGTTATTCAACATGCAAGTGGCTTATTTCATAGCCAGTTGGTAGAAGATGCATTTTATTAAACTCATTGACTTTTCCCCATTGATACTCCACAAAAAATTACTGGAATCTTTGCCCTTTATTTCTGATTGCTATTTAATTTACAGCAGTTTCTAACCAAACTATTCAGTATCTCTCATTCTAACCTTTGTTATAAGCATAAATTGATACTCTACTTGCAAAAAGTTATATATACTAGAAGGAACAGAGAAACCTACAGCTAATTCCTTTGTGATACTTTAAGATGGTTGCATAAGTCCTTCTCTGTGTGTGTCTTTGTTACTTTTTCCAAGATGCTCATCCATGTATGGGCAAGGGAAAACATCATTCATCTAACTCTGATACATTTACCTAACACACACAAATAGAAGTCTTATTAAATGACACTCACATTCAAGCAACTTGGTACTGAACACAGCTTCTAAATTCAGTTTTCAGCCCCAGGAGTAGAATGATCTACCAAGATTGAGCCAGGTTTCACTATGTCATCTTGTGTTCTGTACCAGTGTAGAGGGTCATAGCTGACCCCAAGCCCCAGTGCTGTTCTACACATAGACTCATGGGTCCTTTAAGGATCTGAATCTCCTGTTATTTTCCTGGCAAGTCACCCTCCCACATCTTCTAGACCTGGCTGGTATGTAGTACCATTCACAGCAGTCCTTTCTACCATTGGGGCAGCTTTTTCTATGAAAATTCTTCCATTTGTTAAATGAAACTCTGGCTCTGAAGCTACAAAAGAAGTCTAATGCCTAAATCTTGGTCTCTAGGTTGGATATTACTACTCTTTCAGCTTTCCTCATTTAGTGACATGGTATCAAGTCCGATCACCCTTCTGCTTCTCCTTTGAACAGTTGGACTCAACAATATTTCCTAATTTTATTTCAATCTACTCAATGAAATGTAGCAATCATTTTGGATCAGACCAGATAACACCACTTTCTTCAGGGCTGAAAGTAAGTAGAATTGGAATCATCCAAAGGAAACTGGCATTCAATGTGGACATCCTCCCAAGGACTCAGACCCAGGAGAGTGGAGGATGGAGGAGGGTAGGTCTCCCATGTGAGCAGAACAGGCATGGCCTTTACTGATTTTGATGTTACCAAGGTCAAAGTCAGTCTGAGACTAGGAAGCGAGCTGGTGCTTGTGTCATCCATGAAATTCCCACTTCTTGGTCAACGTTCACAAAGTCTTCCAGCCTTTTCCCTTTGTCTTTGTCTTTTCAAGAGTAAGACCTGTCTTGTCCATGTGCCCGTACTGCATATGCGAGAAGAGTCCTGGGTACTTCAAAATTTCCACATAAATGTTTCTGGCTGATTGATTTTTGAGACTAGCTTTCATTCTTCTTTGAACAAATGTTTGTATCTGGAGCTGCTATACTTCAGATCAAGTGAGCAACTTCCCTGCTCAGTCAGTCAGGAAGCGTCCTTAGCAGTCCACATTTTCTCTATACTTTTTTCTAAAATCTTTATCTTTTACTCATCTACTCAATTTAATAATCACTCTAAGGGAATCAGCCCGTAAGTAACTTCGATTCAGGCCAACTGCAGTGAGATCAAAGAGGTTCAATCTGTACTCCAGAGGAAGGAATGTAGCATCAGCAAAAGTAATTCTTCCCAGTGGCATCAGTGAGGCTTCCTGGAAGAGTGAAATTTATTAAGAAATCTTGTACTGATTCATCGGCTTGATTTAGAAGTTGAGAGAGGAATATTTAAGGCACCAGAAACAACAGGAGAGCATAGGTTATACCCATAGAAAACCCTCTGCTTTACGTATCACAGATTCTGGAAGGTCCTTATCAGGAGAAATGGCTTCCAGATACTTGGGGTCAGTGAGAAGTGAAAAGCATAGAGGAAGGTTGATTCAATTGTTACTTGCTTTTCCATATCTATATAACTGTAAGATAGGAAAAGCTGTCAAAATATAATCCAGTACATACATCATGAATCAGAAGCTTTTTTGATAATATACAAATGGATATTCGTATCAGCTCATAGCTACATACTGCACTCGTGAACAAACACCCTGTCTTTGAGCCCCCACAAGACTATGAACAAGATGCCTCTTTTCCTATTGCTTCTCGGTCCACTTGATGTTACAATTCCCTTACAGATTTATTGCTAAGGGATAATCCAGACTCTACTTAAACGTCACCTGCATCAAGAAGCTCATTACTTCTTAAGCTCTTCCATTTCCTCCATCCCACTTTGTTCCAGGCTCCAGAACCAGCCTCTGGGGCTTAGGTGCTCCTTGGTGCCACACAAAATTAATCTTTAGTACATAACAAAATGTGCTTCTTCCCTCTGTTTTCTTTCCAAATATATTTTGTTTTTAGCAACACATTTAAAAACAAAACTTTGATTCTTTTTTTTAGCTGAAGGATTATAAATATCCTTAAACATCCTTAAAAATAGTCTGAAGGATTTTCTGAGGGTCAGGTTTTGGAGGTTCTGAGTTTGGGGTTGTGGTTTTTACGTTCTTATTCAAAAGACAAACTGTTCTGACACTTGTTATGTAGCTCCTCCCAGTAACTAACCCATGGAATACACTCGTCATCCCACCTGCTGATAACGACCCTGAAAGGTGAGGAAATGTCAGTGTGTGATCTCCACTTCTAACAAGGAAAGCGCCAAAAGCAGAAGATCATGGTCCTGCTGAAATATATTACTTCTGGCCAGTCGTTCCGTGCGAAAGACGGAGGTTCTATTATGTTCTGGTTTTCTGCAGAAATGTGTAAATTCTTTCATTACTGTCCTGAGTTCCTGTGGAGCTGCAGCAGCATCCTCTGGTCTCTGAGAGAACCAGGCCTGCAGACTCTTCCACCCCTGCCTGGAATTCGAGAGCCCTGATGTCAGAACCTGTCACCAGTCCCCTGGGCAGGACCGGGAGGTGGCTTTCTGAGCTCTAAAATAATAACTCCTAAGAGAGCTTACAAACTGCTTTCGCACGTAGAACAGCCCTGGGAGGAAGGTTATTAATAGCCCTATCCTGGAAGAGAAAGCTGAGGCTCAGAATCGTTAAGTGACTTGCCAAAAGCGATAGAGCTGGTAAATGGCAGATTTGGGGACGCCCCCAGGTCTTGGCATTCCCGTGCCCTCTGCAGGCGTGGCTCTCAGGGCACAGAGAGCACGACGTGTGCGTCTCACAGACCCCCGTGCCCCCACAGGTCACTTCGCTGGCAGGTGGCACAGCCACGTGCGCACCGTGGTGTTCGAGACCATCTGGAGCTTGCGTTCCTTTTCTGTGTCATCCTGTGGGAAACTGCCAGGTGTTCTGTCTGATGGGCAGCGCGGTGGAGTCAGCGAGGACAGGCCACTGCTAGGAGCACACACAGCAGCCCTGAAGTTCACTGTGGCAAGTTTCCCCAGAGACAGTGGTTTGCTTTGCATTAACTGAAAAATTCTCTGGAAATGTGAGGTTCAGAATATCAGCCGAGACCGAATCATTTAGAATTCAGTGGAGTGTGGAGGTGACGTGACCCTTCAGACAAGCCTGTCTCCGGTGGGCCAGGGTGTGTGCCCCACAGAGGCAGGAACCACTGTGGGTAAACAGCGCAGATTCTCTCTCCGGCCACGCTTATTCGAGGCCCACCAAGAATATGACAGCATCAGGCATGATCGAGCCGACCGACCGACCCTGACCTCGAGATGCCTGTGAACAAATGCCCTGGGACTCGTTGCAGTCCTGTGACTTGGCTTTTGCCATTCGATAGCCTGGCTTCCCCAGCTGTTGTCGTTCTGTGATTTGTGTGTGCTTATCACGGGGAGTCTGGTACTGCGCGTTCCCAGCGGACTGACTTGGAAGCCTGAGCATGTTATTCTAGAGCCCGTTCCACGTGGCAGGTCCACAGCTGGGCGGTCCTTCCCTTGAGCTGCACCCCTCAGGAAGCTGTGACTTTTGATGTGTGCACTGGGGTTGTATTTCCTCCCCATGTCTCCTCATAGTTGTTTGGCTTTAAGTTAAAATCTGCTAACTGATAAATAGTATTTCTTTATCTGAGTCAAATCTACTGCAGGGAACCTTTAAGATGATCTTACCTATTAAGCTTTCTAAGCATTTTCCCTTCCTAGATCCACCATCCATCATGGAGGTCTCATCATCCACCTGCTTAATTTCCCTGGGATTCACGAGGGGCAGGTTGAATAACAGATGGCCTCTCACCCCTCTCCAATCTTCACACCTGGGAAATACAGGAGGTGCCGGTGGGGCCAACTAGGGAGTAGCCCTGGCTGAGCTGGCAACATTCAGACCCTGGAAAGGTGCTGCATCTTCCCGTGAGGTTTAATGAATGTTATGATTGACAGAGCAGAAAATGATTCCTGTGGAAGAAATGGCGTACCCCCAGCACAGGAGTGGCTTAGTAGAGGCAGCATTTTGAGAAATTTTCAGAATTATCTAGGTGAGTACTCCTGAGTCAGAGACTCACTTGGCTGGAACCTGTGATGTCTTGTTGGAATAAATGTGAGGCTGTGAATATGAAAAAGCAGCCCTTTAAATAAAAAATAAAAGGCGCCATAAACTCTGACTTATCTTTACATAGTATAAAAGAAATTACTCTTTTTTTTTCCTTCCTCCATTCTACACAACATTGCCCCCCTCCTACTTAGGGAAAATACCACAGTGCTGTCTTCAAAATACACACCCATGCACGTGAGTGCCCACACGTGCACGCACACACACAAACTCACACACATACACACACAGGCATCTTCCAAGAGAGCTGATCTTTCAAAAAGGAAATCTTATTTTAAAACACTTGGATTTTTCAGGCCAAGAAACTAATAATTTCTAGACCTGACCCATTTTTGTGGCTGCCAAAAAAGAAAAGAAAAAGCTATTTAAATTTTGTATGGCTCCATTTATCTCTTAAAATATGCCAGAGCAATTTGAGGTGGGGGTGGAAACGAAGGTATTTATCCCTCCTGCTTGATTCTCTCTTTACATTTCTATCTGTTGGGAAAAGGATAAAGGATTATTCCTGGGCGATTAGTGTTGATGCATCGTGTCGCCACTTTGTTCGGGGTCTGCTTCGCTTCAGACTGAGGCGTAAGAAAAATCGTTGCTTTTTGGACTCCTTTCCCTCCATCACGAGGGAGTAAATATTAAGCCTGAATGTCTTTCCACGCCAAATTATTTCACTCCATTTCTGACGTCATTTAGAAAATGCAAAAGAGGGCGAAGTAGCTTTTCTTGGATGTATTTCTCCTGTTTTTTTTCTTTCTTGGAGACAAATCTAAAGGGAAAAAAAAACCCAGTTCCTTTTGATCTCTCTTTCTCTTTGGGTGACAGTGATGATCACTTAGTAATTATAAACCAGAAGTAGAAGAGCTCAGCCAGGTTGTGATGTATCTGCCAACATGTCTCATTCCTTCAAATACAGACTTTGAGAGGAAGAGATTTTATCATTTACATGCCAACAATAGGAATGGCCTCATATTTTAACTTTCAAACAGTAAAAGGCGAGTTGATACTTGGGCAGTGTTTGCATTTTACTAGGCCTGTACACCTTGTGCTGAGTGTGTAGGCGAATGCCACTCCATCAGCCTGTCCGGGTGAGCGTGCCAGGAAGTGTCAAAGTGCCTTGGACTCTCCTCACAAGGTGGCAGATCAGAACTGGTGTAGACTGTGCCAGCCTTCTTACTCAACTGAAATATCTGAACTGAGCTGTATCCTTGATGAAGGATATTTAGGGCCCTGGAAGCTAAGTCTCATCACCTACCAACAGTTTATAACGAAGCAGTCGCAAAGCCGTGGTGAAATGACTTTCTTCCTTTCAGTACCCGTTTATTCTGTTGGGAAAGCTGATGAACAAATGATCCAAGAATTATTTCTTCTTAAAGTGAGAACGCACACCTCCCCAATCTCTGAATTAGTCCTCATTCGTGTTCAGGAAGCAGATGAAAGAGCAAACAGAATTAAGGATGATATCGATTGTCTGATTATTTAGCATTAAAAAAATTACGTGATCTCATGTGCCTTAAGCAAAGATTCTAACTAGATGCAAAAGTGTCACCTCTGGATGTAGGGTGGGAATTTTACTATGTTACCTATGCAACTAATTACTCCATTTTTTGTTTTGCCTTTTAAATTTCACCTTTATTGTTAGTTTTGCAGATTTGGGGCTGGCTCTTTCTCTGCTGGGATTATGAGACGCGCCCCCTCAAAAAAGGAAGGGAAAAGGAAGAACTTTCTGGGTAGCAACTCTGTGCCGTCAAGTAGACGTGGCACAAAGACACAGAGCCTGAGGATGGTAATTTTCTCTGAGCCGCACACACCAGCTTTTATTTCATGGCTTTGTCACAGGCTTTTCTCCTTCTGTGCTGTCACCTTTGAGAAAAACGATTGCACCTTCTCCAAGTCTGCCTTTTAACAGCTACAGTTGAGTTGGCAAGACTTCCCCAGCTCTGAATAGAGCCATTTGCCGACTCCGGCCTCTTTGCGAGACTGACTCAAATCTGTGATCTTCTGTTCAGCATACACATCAGCAAAGTGAGAAGATGAGCACTAAATATAGGCTCTATTAACTTTACTTTTAGATTTACTGCCTTCAAAAAGTGCCTATTCTGAGAAACATAAACGTTATTCCTACATAAGTCTGTACACACGGCACCCAGAGTCAGACCGTGAAGCCTTCAAAAACACACCATCGAAAGGAGTAGGTGCTAAGATAAGGAAGCCTTGCCAAAGGGAAGAAAGTCACTCATTTCCAGTATCGCCTCCCGAGTGGCACCGTGGAACAGACTGCAAGCTCATTCCCTGCGCATCCCTTGCTGATACAGCCACTTTGTATTTATATCCTCCTGGATGGTGGCACAGCGCTGAGGCTTCCTGTCCTCTCCCTCAAGGGAATATGTGCTTTCTGGAATTGGAACATTCAGTCAGGAAAAAGAATTGTCGAAGAGAATTAATGAGCCAGGATCTGTATTAGGATATGTGTCATATGTGTGTTTTATAAACTAAGCATTGGTGGGTTTAGCATGTCGGCACATCGCTTCCCCTTTCCTCTCTCAGGCTAACGTCAGTGAAAACTAAAGTCTTGGCTCTGAGAATTGGAGGCTCAGGGGGCCAGATGCCCTTGCCAGATCCTGAGAGCATCTCTCTACTTTGATTCTTCAAAATAGTAGCACGTGTTGTCTAATGGCTTTTGTTTCCATGGTCTGTCCCTGGCACCGTGGCTGCAGCTCTTGTCCGTGGAGCAGGAGCACAGCCTAGGAAGACGGATTCTCCCCCAGCTGTGGCAGTGGGAGAGGGCTCCAGTAAGTGGGACGAGGTGGACGGTGTGTGATTTTAGGAAAAGGGTTGAAGGGAGGACGTGCTTCCAAAAAAGATCTTTCTCAATGTGTCGTCTGACTCAACCAGCTGGCAAATCCCACTTGCCAAGTCGCTCTCTTCCCTTCTAAGTCAGTTGGCTCCATGTTCACTTGGTTCCGCCTCTGCTTTGGGAAAGCAAGATACCTCCAGTTAGCCTGTTCCCAAGGAAGCTCTTGGCATCCTCTTGGTCGTAAAGTTGTCTCCTGTCTCACCCAGTTTCACCAAATGGAGGGGAAGGAGGATAAGGGGTGGAAGATGCTTTCTATGCCGTTGCAGGCAGCCTCCTTCTGTTTGCCATCTCAGGATCTCCACTACTTAAACTGGGGGGGGGGGGGGTCACCGTTTCATTAATTTCAAGAAGATGGACCGCCTTCTCTGAGTTGTCATGTTATGAGACCATTTGTCTCCTTGGAGACAGTGATACTCTTCACAAAATCTGTCCAATCTTCCTGTTGATGTTCTTGTTCTGTTCTTACCTTATGCGATTTCAATACTAGTCAATTTCTACTTTTTAGAGAGATGTTAGTGTTAGATAAGAGCTCAAAAATCTCTATGTGATATCAGAAGGGGCATCAGGACACACAGAGTTTTTCCCACACAGTTTTTCCTCCTTGGATCCAAGATGGACCGGGAAAGAGCATCGCATGGCTTTGCTCCAGGTTTCAGTCTGATCGTGACTATGAGAGAGTTTTACGTTAAATGTTAAATGGTATTTATAAGTGGATAGATCAAGGAGAAGGGGGAGAAGAGGAGAAGCCAGGTTTTCTCTGTATTAAATGTGTCAAAGAGCAAGAACTTCCTCCTAAGTACAGGCATAGCCCCGCCATGATCAGCTGCTGGTCTGAGTGACATTCTTTGACTTAGAGAAAGCCACACAAAAAACATACACGGAATATGCCTTTTTTCATGTGTGTGCTACTGGCAGGGCCATGGTATTCCCAGAACACAGATTTCTCTTTTTTATTCTTAGCAAATTGCATTTCGCCACTACATCATGAACCATCACTGATCTACCCAAAATAGGCCTCCTGGTAAGAGAATAGAACCTGTTATAAGCAAGTGATTTGGGTATTTTCTTTTGTATTTATACATTACCAACTATATTAAATCACGTCTCTATTTACTTTCTATCAGTTTTTTCTATCAATTATGTTTTTCCAACGCTGTATAAGAATACATATGAAAATTATATTCCTTTTTTTCTGTTAAAGAATCGCAACTACGTCATTATATTTAGAAATCCAATAAACTCACTACGTTTACTTGCCTGCGTGTGGAATTCTTTCTGAGTGGGACAGCTCCCGCCTCCTTCCTTCCAGCCTCTTTTACTGTGATTCATTTTTTTTACCTCATTGCTTTCCATATGTTCTCCTGAGAGAGGGAACGTCTCTCAAAGCAAATGTGATGCCAACAAGCGTACGAAACACCTACTCTTCTCCACTCTTGAGCACAGACCTTCAAGTTAGACGTGTTCTAGAATTACTTGACCACTCTTTGTCTTAACCTTTCAGGGGAAGAACTTTTCCCTTTTAAAGTCGGATCCAAGTCAGTCAGTTCCTGTGAGGGGTGGGGGTAGGAATGAGGGATTCTCCACCTGCAGCGCTAACAGCTGGTTGACTTTTCGCACTTTTACTCCATCAGTGCTATGCATACTTTTCCGACCCTGAGACTCTGCTCTGTGCTAGGCATCTTGAAGGAGATGGATATAAATCAGACATCGCTCCTGCTTTCAAGAAGTCTGTAGTCTAGTAGAGCTGATGGTATGGATGCAAATAACTGGGAAGAAGAAAGGAAGAATCAGACACATGGGAGAGTGTAACTCAGCATTTTTTAAAGGCTTCACTGCTTACTATTAATAGCCCTGTGATCTGGAATGAGTTTACCCTCATTTTATAGATGAAAGTGTTAAGAATGTGAGAAATAAAGGTAACAACCCAAATGACCATACATATTTTTTCCCCTTTTTTAAAGGAAGAGGTCTGCAAGAGAAACCAGTACCCCGACCCCCAGCCTAGTCTGACTCAAGAGTGACTAGCAGTAGAGAGAACACGAAACTCCTTCCGTGACGTTCAGGAAAGGAGAGCCTTCTCCTTCCCACTTAGGCTTTGGGTTGGCTCTCCAGCCTCACGTTTCAGCCTACTAATGCCGAAGGGTCTGAGAGCCCAGGGGCCAGAGCTCTGTGAGGCGCTGCCATTTTCAAAGGTGCCAGGTGCACACAAAGGGCATCTCTGAAGTAACAGATGAGAGGAGCGTCGCTGGGGTGCGGGGAATTCGTGCCAGAAAGTTTTACACAAAGAAGAGCATGTAACATGCCCCCTTGGCTTTCCTTTCTCTTATTTTCTCAGGTTACTCACTTTATGTTCTTTGCCTCCCCCACTACTCCATATTTTAACACTGTACATACACGTATTTGCCCCTGTTCGTCAAATGTGAGAGCTCGAGGGTCCTTAGCATGTTCTCTGATTTTGTGAGGAAACACTAAGTCCCAGAGATAGGAAAGGATTCGCCTAAGGTCACAATATAATTTAATTACAAGGCTGGACCTTGTGTCCAGGGCTGACTCCCAGTCCTGCGCTATCATACTGACAACTTTAATAATGTGGAAGACAGTAGGAAAAGAATTTTATCTACAATTTCCATGTCTAAGAAAAAGAAAGACATTTAAAAAATGAACAAAAGCCGAAAGGGCTTAATGTCCATAGGCCCTAACTAAAAGGAATTCTAAAAGATACATGTCAGGAGGAAAGAAAATGAACCAGGAAGGAACATTGGTGATGCAACAAGAAATGGTAAGCAAAGACACTGGTAACCATACAGTTCAATCTCAAAGAAGCTGAGTTTATAGTTTATCCCAGGAATATGGGAGAAGCTAAACATGAGAACGTTGATTAATTCACCACTTTCACAAAACAAAATGGAAAAACGTTATGATCATAATTTCCTAATAGATGTAGGAAAAGAGTGTAACACAGTAAAACATTCATAAAAGAGCAACCCCTTAGCAAACTAGGAATAGAAAGAGACTTCCTTGACCAAAGTCTACCTATGCAAAAGCGGCTCCACGTAGTGAAACCTTAGAAGTAATTATTTCAAATCGTAAACAAGAGGATACCCGCTGTCAACACTTCCATTCAACTTTGCACTGAAGATTCCAACCAGTACGGTTATAACAGAAACATGAATAAAAGATACAAAGAAAAGAATGCAAGAAGCCAAACTGCCATTGCTCATAGATGATATAACCACAGAAAACTATACACAGAAACCCAAATATAACACACCAATAATTAACATTACACAGACTTATAGATCGAGCAAATTGGTGATGGCAAGAGGGGAGGGAGTGGGTGTTGGGTGAAATAAATGAAGGGGACCAAGAGGTACAAACTTCCAGTTACAAAGTAAGGCACAGTAACATACAGCATAAAAAATAATAATACCCTGGTAACTTCGTATAGTGACAGATGGTTACTGGACTTATTGTGGTGATCATTTCTTAATGCATCTGATTGCCAAATCACCATGCTGTACACCTAAAACTAACACAGTATTGTACATCAAGTATAATTTAAAAAAATAAAAATTAAGTTTAGCAGGTTTGCTGGATATAACATTAATATACCGTAATTGCATCTTACTTCTGTGCAATAGCCACAAAGAGTTTGATAATGTATTTTTAACAAACCATATATAATGGTGACAAAAAAAGTAAAGTACCTAAGAATATCTTTTATAAAATATAAAATACCTTAATGAGGAAAACCACAGAACTTCACTGAAAGATATTAACGTAGATCTAAGTAAGTGGAAAGATATACCATCTTCAAAGATAGGGAAATAATGTCATAAAAATGTAAATTCTTCCTAAATTGATTCACAGATTTAATAGAATACTAATCTAAGTTTATGGACTTTGGCAAATTGATTCTAAAACTTACTAGGAAATACCCTACCCAAAATACCCAATAAATTTTTAAAGAATAAGGAAGGGTAATTTTCTTTACCAGATATGACTTTCTATAAAGCTACAGTAATAAAGGCAGTGTATTATTTGTATTAAAAAAAAAGACGTATATAATCTAAATGGACGACAGCTGAGAACCTAAAATAAGACCATTCATTTACGGTAACAATATATGACATAAATGATATTGCAGATCACTGTGGCAAGGGGAGATGCTGGAATAACTGGTTTTCATGTGGAAAAATATAACACCCAGTGCCTGACTCCTTAAAGACAAAACTTTAAGACCTATTTAAAACGATCATGACCTTTAGGTTACAAAGGATTTCTTGAACCAAATAAAAAACATTAAAGCTGTAAATAAAATAATTAATAATTTAAATGCCATTAAAATTAAGAAATGGAGTTAATCAAAAGACTCATAATAGCTTCAAGCTGGGAAAAGCTACTTGCCAGACATAAAAAGACAGAGGATTACTCTCCAGAATATAACAAAGAATTTTTAAGAAAAAGAAAACTCAATAGAAAAATGGGCGCACGAACAGACATTTTAGGGAAGAGAAAATACAAAGGGCCAATTGACCTATGAAAGAACAATTACATTCGTCCTTAGGGAAATGCAGATGAAAACCAGTGTGGGTTACCATTTCACACCAACAGCAGCAGCAAAAATCTAAAAGGCTGATGATGTCAAGTACTGGAGATGATGTGGAGCAGTGGTATTTCTATACAATATCAGAGGAAGTATAAATAGCTAAAATCACTCTGGAAAATAAATTAGCATTATCTAATAAAGATGAAGATGTGGCAATCCAACGACCAGCAATTCTGCTCCTGCCCACGTGTCCCAAAGGCTTGTACCAAGATGCACAGAGTTGTCCTGTGAGTAACAGCCAAAAGCTGCAGATAACACAAATGCCCATCCAAGGAGAACTGCTAAGTAAATAAGAGTCTGTCTGCACCAGGATAATGTATAACAGTGAAATGAATCCACTACTGTTGAATAAATCTATATGGTCAATTCTCAGAAACATAATTAGAAGAAAGAAAGTCATAAAAGCATAGATATATTCCTATCATAGCATTTGTAGAAAAGTTTAAAACAAGCACAATCAATTATGCTAAGGAGATACATATACAGCCATACCTATCTATACAGATATAGAAATAGAAATACATCCTGTGGAGGCAGGACAAAAGGAGGGAGATGTGATGGGTGAAAGACATGACAGAGCTGTTATTAATGTTAATCTAATACGAATATTAGATTTCTTTAGCTGGATTGTAGGTTCATAGGCGTCCATTTTACTACTATAAATTATAGTTGGTATTGTGTATCATGTATTTCATGACGTAATAGTTAAAAGAGAAGGAAAGGGAAGAAATGCTTTCTGATAACTCCTTTTTCCGCTCCAGTGCAGAGTCAAGTGTTCAGTACAGCCTTAACGACCTTAAAGCTGCCTTAAAGGAACGCCAAGAGAAGCCCCTGTACTTATCCACCCTTTTTATATGAAATCCTAGAAGTAGGCTAAGGACAAATGGGAAATGGGGAGCAGAGCTCCCCATAAGGGCCATGCACTTAGAGGACACTTCCCCTCTCTCTTCCCACACTTCTCTGCCCTTGGCATCTTCTACAAAAACTTTTTCTTCCATAAGCTCTTTCTTTATTAAAACTGACTACTCCTGTCCTCTGTATTCCCATTACAGTGCAAACTAGCATACCACCGTTCCTCGTTATGTGCATGTCTGCACACCCTGTGTGACCCAGAGGACGTGGCAGACTGCTGGCATGACCATCCGTGACACTCATCATGATTTTTCTGGGAAGGACATGGTCTTATTAATTTAGATGCCCCCGAAGTATCTAGCACAGCCTGGCACATTACAGACCCTGGGTGAATTATTACCCAATGGAATTAAATTGATCTTCTTTCATTTTCACCCCAGATTCATGTCCAAAGCAAAGCATTTCACTTCTTTCTGCCTTGGCTATTACACTCGGGCGATAAATAAAATATTCATTACTTCCCTCTGATGACGTGAAACTAACAACGGCAGACAATTCTGCGTGAAGTATCACAAACAGGATTCCTAAATAGGTCAGACGGCTTCCTTCCTCCCAGCTCTCTTACGAAGGGAATGAGCCTGGTAAATCAGAAAAAGGAAGAAACAAACACAGCATGGTCATGTCAGCAGTCTGCCATGTCCTTTGGGTTATGCAGGGTTCAAACCTCAATTTTGTCCCAAATCCCTCCCTCTTCTTTCCTTATCTAATGACTCCCCGTATGCTGTCCCCTCCTTCTCAAATCCTCTCTCCTTCACTTTGTCCATGCTTCTTTCATCCGTTTAGGAAATCACCAGTCACCATGTATCTCTCTGTTTCAGTCTTTCTGAACCTAACACCGCACCAACCCTCTTCCACGGAGGCCAGCCTATTTCCAAGGCAAAAATTGGACCACGTTGCTTAACTGTCTTGGCCCAGGATTCAATCCAAATTCCTCAGCATGACCTTGAAGACTCTAGGTTATCTTTCCCTACTCATCTCCTCCCCCTCCTCCGACACACTGGCCGCTACACCATGTGCCATTCCCAAACAACGTACCTACTCACTTCTCCGGCCTCCGTACTCACTCCTCTGTGTGTACGCTGCCACCTGCCCTCCTGTCTGGCACGCTGAGGACTACAAAAGAACTCGGGCTCGGAGCTCCTTCCAAATCGCAGCACTAAGAGACTTGACCAACCCTAGCACGGCTGCTGGCGGCCTGAGGGTACATCCCGGGGAAAACTTTGAGTTCCTGTCTGCACAAGCTCAAAGCTATGAAAATGACTTAACTGTTTGTTCTGGCCGATACCTGCCGGTAGGCCCCTGACCTCCTCTTTCTTGGAGAATTTACTTTGAAAAGCTTACAATTGCAAATTCTTCCTCTGTCCTTTTGAGATATCTATATATAGATATATAGATATCTCTATATATTTATATCTCCAACCTGAGTGTCTTTCCCAAGGAAGTGGAAGCCAGCCCTCTGTAATCGTTAGGAAGGACGAGGCCGCTGCGGGAGGGTAGAAACCGCCCTCCGATGGTTGCCTCCAGCAGGCACAGCGGGCTCGACCACTTTTACACCCATCAGTCCTCTTACTTGCTTTTTGTAATTTCGTCCTGCCCCTGATGTTAACTGCAGCCCTGTCCGCTCCCCTCCCTGCTAGCTGGCTCTCCCTCTAACGTGCCCAGTCACCACTGCACCAATGGGAAGCTCTTGCCCCGCTGTCGGTAGTTACAGAACAAAATCTCTTTTTTCCACTTGAACTAACATCTGCCTTTGTTCACCTTTGATGCTACTCCCCCTTCCAGACCCAGAACCCACGTTACCTCCTCCAGGAATTTTTCTGTCTTTGACTTCCACTACGGTATTTGTCACGCTTACGTATGTAAGCCCATATGACTTCAGACAGACATATGGGAGGATGCTTACTGTATTAAACTAAAATTTTCCTTCTTTTCTTCTAGGCAGATTTCCATCTGGACTAAAACCCTGAAGGTTGGAAGTTGTGTTTTGCTCACCACTGGGCACATTGAGCCAGATATGTAACAGGCCTGAAGTACACGCGAACGAGGAGGAGGCTGGGTGAATGCACGGATGAGGGAGAGAGTGACTCCGCGCGATGGGAGGGTTAGGATAGGCTCTCTTTCTAGAGTTGTCCCTAAAGGAAACGGGCGCCGAGCAGTGTGGCTGCAGAGTCGGAGGGAAGCAGTCACACTTTCCCAGCAGGAGAGGCAGATGGACCAGTAGGGAGTTGCCCTTTCTGCCGCGGAGACATCTTCCACTCCCAGTTTCCTTTCCCGAGTCTTTCTGAGTTTGTACACAAATCTTTTTCTTTCAGCGGCTGTGAAGAACCACTTTGTATTCTTACTGTAACACAGGGGCGGGGAGGAATCCCTTCAAATACGGGACAAAATCTGCCCATTGAAAGGACTTCATCTAGTCCACAACCAAATGCAAGGGTGTAATGTGAAGCCAACCTAAACTATACCATTGTTTTCAAGTGTGACTAAGTACTGGTGAATATTACTTCCTCTGGCACTTTTTTCTTTTTTTTTTTTTTAGACTCAGTAGAATGGAAAAGTTCCAGGCTGTTGTTACACGTCGCTATCTGGACAGAATGACTTCCTGCACCTCATAACCGCTTGAGAAAGAAAAACAAAATGGAAGAAGAAGGAAAAAAACTTCCCAAGGGGTCCCTTAAGTTTAGCAATGGTTTTTTGATCTTGGATTTTGTTGTTTTTGTTGTCCTGTGTTATTCCCAAAAGCAACAAAGAATTCAAGAATCCGAATTGGAAAGGACCTTGCCCAGGACATCTAGCTAGGAACGGACATCTTCCCTGCCCGTCCTGAGAGCTAGAGTCACCGGGACATCCCCGCCAAGACATCCCCACCCCACCCCACCCTCCACCAGTCTGTGCCATGTAAACACTCTTCCTTCAGGAGCTCCCTTCCTTCCAAAACAAGTCCTCACACCTTTGGGCTGCTGGCAGTTCCTCCGCCTCCCTGCAGACCTATTCCTTTTAGCTCTGCCTTCTGGGAAACAAGCCGTGTTTGCAGAGAGTTCAGGAGACTCTGAGCCTGTTCCACGGGGACTAGATCACCAGGGACAGCACGGGAACGACTTCTGTCAGAGAGAGAATGGAGACGTGAGCAGAACGCAAGCTCTGGCAATGTCTTCAAAGTGGAGACACAGAGGATGGACACCCATCAAGTGTGCCTCTGGAAGGTCGGAGGCGTCCCTTCCCCCTCACCATGGCAGATTATGGAGAGCTGAACTGGCCTAACCCGAGCCTCTCAGTCCCGGTATTCCCTCCGCTCTTGCTCTCCTTCCCAGACACGGGAAGCTGTCAGCCCTGCCGCACCCACATTTCTCTGGCTGCTGTTGCCGTCAGCTTCCACTTTGGGGCTTGGTTCTGAACAGTCAGCAGCCTCCGCTTCTCCTCTCCCCCAGCCAGGCTGGTGGCAGAGGACTGTCCATGCTACCTGCCATCCCCGGGCAAGGAGGAAAACTGCCCCCTCTGAGATTTTGCTCCTTTCATTGCAAGAAGCTGGACGCATTCACAAGGAGGCGCAGCGCTCCCCACCCCCCAAAAATCAACCAAAGCCCCTTCCAGCTGTGGGATGCACCTTTCTCACGGTGTGAGTCATTTCTATAACCTCTGAGTTTCCACCAGGTTTAGGGTCAAAGGAAAACCCGGTCCCCACAGGGCCTTTCAGCTCCCTGGGAATTGGGATGAACGACTCATTACATGGCAGAAATGAGCGCCTTTTTCTTTTCAACTATGATTGGTGGCCCAGAAACCACAGCCATCAAATACAGAGGCTCTGCTAAATCATCACTATTTCAGCTACTAATTAGGACTAATGTTCACGGCCAAGGAGTCTGTGGGGGCAATAAACCACTTCTTCAAGTGATTAAACTTCCAAGCAAACACACTTTGATTACCACAAGGACCATTCCCTGACAAAGGTCCTCCCAGGTAACTGCATCCTCAAGACATGGCTACACGAATGGGGGATAGGTAGCCCGGAATTCTGGGTGTGCAAGGCACCCCATCTCCTCTGGCCAGACCCCTGCTGCACCTCTGGTTCTGTCGCAATGCCTTGGGGGACCACATCCGTGACAATGTGAATAGCAGGTTCACTGGGTCAGCTGTGGGATGACACTGCCCAGAGGCTCAGAGCATGCAGGCAGAATGAGAAGGAACACCGCTGGGGAGAGAGACATTTGCTACTTCTGAGGACAGGGCTGCCTGCCCCTTGGCCCCAAGTTAGAGGACTGAGTTGAGAGAAAGTCACCGTGGTGGTGAAAGAACCGGAGGCACTGTGCTAAGTACTTTCATGTGAGTTAGCTCAGAGCAAAAATATAGGTATTTGCACCAGATCTTTTCCGAAAGTATTCTCTTAATGTGTTTACAAAAATGAACAAAAAGCTACACATGAACTACATGCTCATTGTAGAAAAAGTAGAAAATAAAGGGAAGTGAAAAAGAGAGCGTTAGTATTCCCTAAGCCTGTCATCTAGGGGAGGGCTTCTCGACCCCAGCACCACTGCCATTCAGAGCTGGGTGACCCTTGGTTGAGACGGCTGTCCTGTCCACTGTAGGGTGTTTAGTAACCCATGGCGTCCACCCACTGGCCGCCAGTAACACCCTGTTCCCACCCCACTAGGACATCAGATAGGTTCCCAGTCATTGCCATGTGCCGCCAGCAGCAAAATTACTCCCATTAAAAACCAAAACTCTAGGGGTGGGAATATAGCTCAAATGGTAAAAGCATGTGCTCAGCATACATGAGGTCCTGGGTCCAATCCCCTGTACCTCCATTACAAAAAAATTAATAAATAAAAAAACCAAAACTCTGGAGATAACCAGTAATGCCAATTTCCAGTCTTTCCTGCATACCAACAAGTGATCCATAGTTTTAAATAAAACTGTAATATATACGCTGTTTTGTATTTTCATTTTCTGCTTAACCAAAGATCCTGAACATTTTCCCATGTTGACACCTGCTCTTCACCATTACCATAACCTCTCCATTGTGCTCCATTGTCTGGTGGTGACATGACTTATTTTGCCTTCGATTTGGGGACACTTAGATTATTTCCAAGGGTAGTAAGAGTATTAAAACAAAAACCCAATGATTGTGCTTCTTCGGCCTTCTAAAATGGGAAGAGGTTGAAATAATGCGTATGAACGGAGAAATAAATCCTTCTATTGTATCTTTCCACTCACAGACACCACTGGGGAAGCAAGAAAGGGAGGTAAATCTTAAGACTCTTCGGTGCTGTTAATAGGTAAGACACCAAGTCGAGTCTACTCATGAGTCTCTGGTTAGTATGGGGTAGGAACTGGGGAGGAGAGAGCTGGATGAATGTGAGAAGTATTAGGGAGGAAGAGTGGCCTAGGGGTGAAGAGGAGGCCAAGAATGAGGGATCCTGGAAAACAAAGATGGGAAAAGGCTTAGAATGGAGGGATAGGTGCTGAGGAAGGTGGTTGTCCGCTGAACCCTTCACTGTCCAAACCCTTAGGACAGCTTGACCGCGCTCCTCGCTCCATGCTTCTTGCCAAGGTACTTGGGGAGAGAAGGGTGCCTGGGGTGGAC